CCCCCCGCCCACGCGCCCCACAAGCTGGCGCACATCCCAGCACACGCACGGCGCTACCGCAGCTACATGCAGCTGGTGCAGCAGAAGTCCGCCGTGGAGTACGCGCACAGCCAGGTGAGCCTGCTTGGCGCGTGCAAGGACCTCGGCCCCGCGGGCCCGCCTGAGCCCCGCGCCGAGTGGAAGGTGAAGGTGCGCAGCGACGGCTCCCGCTACATCACCAAGCGGCCCGTGCGCGACCGCCTGCTGAGGGAGCGCGCCCTGCGGATTCGGGAGGAGCGCAGCGGCCTCACCACCGACGACGACGCGGCCAGTGACATGAAGCTGGGCCGCTACTGGAGCCGGGAGGAGCGCAAGCAGCACGTGGCGCGCGCCAGGGAGCAGCGGCGGAGGCGCGCGCTCCTGCTGCAGAGCCGGCTGGACGGCCCCCGGGAGCAGCCCGCCGAAGACGACCGGAGAGAGGTGAGCATCCTGGAGCTGAGCCACAAGAAGATGATGAAGAAGCGGAACAAAAAGATACTGGATAACTGGATGACCATCCAGGAACTGCTGACCCACGGCACCAAGTCCCCGGACGGCACTAGAGTGTATAATTCCTTCCTCTCGGTAACTACTGTATGAGCACGAGGTGCACGGACACCCGCCCGGTGGGTAGGAGAGCCTGCCTCGTTCGGTGCGGCAGAGCTTTGTATGTAAGATAAGGTTGTGTGTATAGTCCAGCTGTGCACCTCCGGGGTCATAGCTTTATTTTAAGTGGAGAAAGCCGCCCCGAGCGATCTCGGAAGGCAATATAAACAAACGGCCTTTTCCAAATAGCTATGGTACTTTTTTACTTGTTACCTTTTACATAGTGTTTAAATTTCAAAAAGACCTTTTTATTAAGCATACTTTCACAGAATAATTTGTTTAAACTATATTCCTATAAAAAAGTTAAACATGCTTTTTTTCTGCTGAAAATACAACTGCCAGTATGTATTTTTAACGGAACCCTATTTTATAATGTTACTTTGCTGAATGTGTTTCATGTGAGTGACCGTTAATATATTATTTAGGTCAGGGCTTCAACTCCACCAACCGGTGAACGATGTAATACACAAAATCAAACCAGCCATGTTTAAATGTATGTTTCAGCCCGACACATTTTTCTGGTTAAAGTTCCCACGAGTGTAAAACTTTAAACAGAAAGCAGAGTATCTTGCAGCTCTATGGAAGTTGAAAGCACGTTTGCAAACAGTGCAGCTGGTGGGGAAGATGTGCGCAGGGGAGTCTCGGTGGAGACGGTGGGTGGAGCTTTCAGGCTACTCCTAACTAACCTTCGCTGTGTAGATTTGAAGGGATGGACTCTTTACAGGCAGGTTCACTAGGTCATGATTGCTCACAAACATTAAGTAAAATGAAGTTAAAATAAATTATTTTCTACTTGACATGTTTTGAGGTGCTTTCTCATTTTTGAAGTGGTGCCTCTGAAATAAAAGCCTTTGCAGTGTTATTTTTTCCTTCGTTGTGTTAACTGCTGCTTTTCAGATCATTGAACCCTTCATTCTGCCTGGAACCTCAAGACAGACATAAAACCAAGGTCTGTCAGCAAAAAGCAAGGTGTCAACCTCACCGTATGACCCTGCACGCCGACCGTCTGTCTTGCAGGAAGCCTCCACCTGGCCCAGCACCCTACAAGCAGGACTAACTCTGAGCAGGTTTATTGGTCAGGGTCATGTTCACGATGCAATTTCTTTGGCCAATGCACCCATCACTGCTGGGCGGTAATAATTAACTTCCCATTTCTAAGGTGCACCTGAAAATCACACGGTATTTCCACAGAAGGGTCACCAAAGTGGGTGGGCTTCAAAACTGGTATCTTTCAGACTCCAACAAACCCAGGATCCTAAATAATGAATTAGCTATAAATTTTTCCTTGGCTGTAGTGTTCACAATTCCAGCTATAATATCTACTGAAAAGACAAAAAATAAAGATTGGGTGATGAGGTTATCATTTGCCACGATGCCAAGCATCTCAGGCATTGATTCCTCCCACAGGACCTATTCCAACCAAAATTCCTCCTTTGGGGCCAAAATCTTGAGACCAATTACTAGTCACACTTGCAACAGAACCACTTAATGAAAATAAGACACTGGAATACTTCTCACAATTAAGACGTCTGTCCATTGCCTATTTTAGAGCCAGGCACTGCAAAGATAATTACGGCTGCTACACTGTTCTGATCAACCCTCCAGAGAGAGATTCCCACAAGGTCGACTGTCTGGCCCTGGCCTTCCAGCAGCCTCCAAGCTGAACTTCTAGCGGCCTGATCCTTGGCTCCCAGAAGCTCCCCACCCCAGCCTCTCACCTCATACCCTGTCTCCCTGAGAACAAACACCAGTCAGATGAGTTATAAAGCACTGCAAGACACATGTACATTTCAGTATCTTTGGGGAAATAGCTTCGCTCCCCTGTGTGTGCTCATTAAAGATGGGGGGAGGGGGTACAGGGCCCTAAGAACAAAGAGCTCCCACCTATCCCACCTGGCAGCCTCAGAGTCAAGCAGAGGGGCTTCTAAGCAGGGCTCCCCATGTGCCTCTGGATTTGGGGTCACCTGTGCCACTCATGACAAAGTGGAGGGAGTTAAAACCAACACACATGCATCCAATTCCAGATCTTTCCATGCCAACTTATTTTTAAATCACTTTGTCATGTAGATAAGGCTTGGTCATAATTTGCAATTTACTGTGAAAGGACCTTGGAAATCATCACCTTATGAATGAGCAGGAGACTCAAGGAGACAAATGTGGCTCAATAGTGAGCCCATGGGATTCCAAGGGAAATTATTCCTAACTTGGTTACAGTGTCAACTCTATGTAGCCTCTTGCCTTCCCCACCTCCCATCAGACCTTGGCTATGATGACTCTACTTTCTTTGACTAATGGCCTTCAGGAAGGATTTCACTCCTGCTGGGTGTTGACAAATTGTGGGATGGACTCAGCCACAAAACCTGTTTTCTCTTGTGGCTTCAGTGAGGTTTAAACCCAGGTCTCCAGAGACAAGAGATTATTTCTTTAACCTGCTACATGAGGGCCCTCCCATGAACCTAATTCCAGGGTGGCCTGATGCGAGCTGGCCACACGGACATCGCGGCCACTGATCGTTAAAGTGCCTGTGATGGGGGAGACGCCCTGAGAAGACTCTGTTGGCTCAGTTGTGGCCTGTCGGTGAGCAGAGTGACCCATGAAGGAAGGGCAGTAAGCGTACTTCTGAAGCTGAAAGGAATGGGGTGTTTACTGTAGTGGGAAGGGATATGGATCATCAGAGGGTCAGCCACTGTAGCCATTGAAATGAGGATTGGGGGTGATGATGACTAGTTATTTCCCCCAATTGCTGAGGGATGAACTTTGACACTGGCCTTTCCTGTAGGTAGAACTTACGGGTCACAGGCAGTAAATTCTGTCTTCTCCCACCAAGAGGAAGGATCGAGGAAGGGGCCTTCTTACTCAAGCCAAGAGTTCCTCATAGACAGAGGGGACCACGAGGGCCTGCGGACCATCCCCCGAGAGTCCGATTTGCATTCAGGTAGGAGAAGGAACTACCCATGGCCGCCCTCAACCACCGAGAACCACTGTTCTCTCATTTCCCTCCTGACTTGCTCTGTTTTCTGTTTTAATGACCAACCCTACCTCTTGGGCCTGCAGTTTCCTAATGCTGCCTGTAATTGAGACTCAAATGGTAAAATATACATAACTGGCCACTTTACCAAGTCATCATTTATGAATACAGCTCGATTAATTTGTTTAGTCAGATGTAGAGGGCAATAAAAAGGGATTGACTAAAAACAATTAAAACAGTAAAAGTAAATTGTTTGTGTCCATTAAAACCTGCTGAGGCCATCAGTTGAATATTGTGGGCCTCAATGTGAAAATTAAAACTATTGATTTTCCCCGTATGTATGTGAATATCAGAGCTCTAATTTGTTCTGTTTTCACTGGCTCAAAGCCCCTGAGGTCACAAGGACGGTAGGTCCTCAATCAGCTCTTTTGGTGGAGTTAATAAATGTTTGGAAAGACAAATATGAGAAGAAATGGCAAAGACATTCCAGGGGAGAGTGAATGTCTGACTGGCACCGTGCTGCATGTGAATACTTTGTAATTTATTGCATTTTGGGGCTGAAAATGGAAAAATCAACTGCAGAATATATGATATTCATGGCTGAATTTTTAGGGCTTTGCTTTAATGTATGTGTGTGAGATATTTTTTAATTGTCATTTTATTTTTTTATGTGCCACACTAAATCTTGTATTCCACAAACTGTTATTTTTTTAGTGTTCAATTAAAACACCAACATAAAGGGAATTCATATGGACAGATCTTTACTCTTGAGAAGAAAACTTGAGGGAAAACCCTCCGGATCAGACGAGCACGTTTCAATCAGGGAATATGTTGTTGGAATAAAGAAGGCTGTAGAAACAGTGTATCACGGTATCCGGTTGGGTGCGAGCTAATATTAGGTTTACATTCTTAATAAATGAGGAGGGACACTGTTATACTTGGTAATTAGGTGAATGATCAGTAAACAAATCACTTTTTTTTTTAAGACAAATCACTTTTTTTTTTTTAAGGCATATCTTTATTGATTTCAGAGAAAGGAAAGGAGGGGGAGAGAGAGAGATAGAAACCAATGATGAGAGAGTCATTGATCGGCTGCCTAGCCTGCAACCCGGGCATGTGCCCGACCGGGAATCGAACCTGGATCGTCTGGATCCCAGGTCGATGCTCCACCACTGAGCCACGCCCGGCCAGGCAACAAATCACTTTCTTTGAATCTTTAGATATAAGTCAGGCATAGTTTTCAAAGAAGGGTTTATAAAGTTAGAGAATACGGCAGCCCTTCAAACATGGCATTTAAAAACCTATTACAATTGTGGTGTTGTCTGAATTTGACTCCCAGACACTGGTTTTTAAGAGGAAAGTTTCAAACAAATAGCTTATTTTCTGTTCTTGGGAGATTTTTGTTTCATGCTTCACCCCGAGTCCCCCCAAAGTGTTTTCTAAAGAGAATATAAATTCTTTACCTGCAGAAAACACTGTGGTTTCTGAACATTTCTTTTTTTTTCTTTAATTTTATTTTCCAGCATTATTGAGGTGTACTTGACCAATAAAAATTGTATATATTCAAGGTGCGCATGATGATTTGCTATCCATATACATTGTGAAATGATCACACAATCAAATGAACACACCCTTCACCTCACATTGTTACCACTGCCTCTGTGTGTGTGGGGGCGGGAGGGTTATAACACAAGATCTACTCTTTTAGGAAATTTCAAATATAAACACAGTTATTAACTATAGTCTCCATGCTGTACCTCACGTCCTCAGGACATACTCACTTCGCATAACTGAGCCTCTGACAACTTCTCCCCCACCATTCTTCTATGATTTGGACTTTTTTCAGATTCCACATAGAAGATCCTACTGTTTATTTATCTTTGTGTCTGGCTTATTTCACTCAAGTTTCATCCATGTTGCTTCAAATGCAGAGCCTCCTTCTTTATAAAGACTGGATACTATTCCATCCTCTGCATATACCACTCTTTGTTTATCCAAACGTCTCGCAACACTGTGGGATTTTGCACAACTGAGCGCTACTCATGTCAACGACTCACATGGGTGCTGGGCTGGGCGCTCACGCTGTTTCACGGCAATGCCCAGGCATTGCCTGCAGGTATTCGGAGGAGAGGCCCTCAGGCTGTAGGATGTGCGTTTAACACAAGTGCTCCAGGTGCCCTGAATGGGAAGCATCAGGATGACACATGGAACCCGTCCTCCAGAACAGTGATGCTTAAATCTTTGGGGATCAGCAACCTTTGACAATCTTCTCAGAACAATATACATATTTTTTGTTTGTTTGCTGAAAAATATTTGCATTTTATGGTCTTAGATTAAGAACTCCTGCTACATTTTTTTTTAAATGGGGTTGGAAGAGAAGGTTCACCTGGAAAAAGAATTACGCAGAGAATCACCCAGCCTCCCCTGCAAGGCCGTTTCCTGATCCTCAAGGCTTAATGCAGCCTAAGAGCTGAGATGTTGTGACCTGCTGACCTCTGGCTGGTGTCTGGAGGCAAGAGATGCCAGATGAGTGGTGCCAAGTGAGTAGAGGCTCCTGTGTCTGCTCAGCCCCTCTCCTGATGTGCTGTAATTCTGAACTTACTTAGAAAAGCTGACTCCTGGCCATTGAAGCTGGTGGATGGTGAGGAGGGGTTGAGGTGCTTGGGATGGAGAGGTTTATCTGTGCCCAGTGTGGGGACCACGTCACCTGACCCAACCAGCTCCAGTGCCAGCAAAAGGGACATCCCGAAGCCCTGGGCTGGCCTCTTAGCCACAGGGTCCCACTGAACACTTGGCCACATTTAATCTTAAAAACAAAAGGGTGAGCCGTAGTCAGTTTGGCTCAGTGGTTAGAATGTCGGCCCATAGACTGAAGGGTTTCGGGTTCGATTCTG